CTGTAGCTCATGGTGTTTCCCAGGGGTCAGGACAGGGTCCAGTCTTGTTCAACATCTTCATCAACAACCTGAATGACCTGACAGAGAGGACCCTCAGCCAGTTTGGTGATGGTACCAAACTGGGAGGAGTGGCTGGGGGGGGGGGGCGAACACACCAGGGCTGAGCTGCCAGTCAGACCTGGACAGGCTAGAGAGTTGGGCAGAGAGGAAGCTCATGAAGTTCAACCAGGACAAGTGTAGAGTCTTGCACCTGGGGAGGAATAACCCCATACACCAGGACAAGTGTAGGTTGAACTGCTGGAAGGCAGTTCCAAGTGCTCCCCAGCTGGGAGTGCTGGGGGACAGCAAGTTGCCCATAAGCCAGCCATGGGTTCTTGTAGCCAAGAAGGGCCAATGGTCTCATGGGGTGCATGAGGAAGAGTGTGGCCAGCAGGTTGCGGGAGGTTCTCCTCCCCCTCTACCCTGTCTTGTTGAGGCCGTCTTGGGAATACTGGTTGTAGTGCTGGGCTCCCCAGTTCCAGAGAGACCAGGAACTACTGGAGAGTCCAGTGGAGGCTGTGAAGCTGCTTGAGGGGCTTGGAGCATCTCTGTGCCAGGACAGGCTGAGAGCCCTGGGGCTGCTGGGCTGCAGAAGAGAAGCCTCAGAGGAGATCTGATCAAGGCTGAGCAAGAGTTCAACAGCCCTCAGGGGACAAGAGGCTGGGGCCAGACTCTTGTCAGTGGTGCTGAGCAACAGGACAAGGGGGAACGGGCACCAACTGGAACCCAGGAGGTTCCACCTGAGCAGGAGGAGAAACTTCTTTGGTGTGAGGGTGGCTGAGCCTGGAGCAGGCTGCCCAGAGAGGCTGTGGAGTCTCCTGCTCTGGAGAGATTCCAAACCCACCTGGATGTGATCCTGGGCACCCTGCTGTAGCAGGGAGGTTGGGGGAGATGATCTGTCAGCCTCCACCCTGCTGGGATTCTGTGCTGTGATCTCTCTGACACATTGCAGAGCTGGATGGACCTTTGCTGTCTCTCATCAGACCGATTTCTCTGGTCCAAGCAGATAAACCAGTTGTAAGGCAGGTAGTTTGAAGCTCTTGTCAATAATACAAGTTTGCTTTTTTTTTCCACCAAATTCTTGCTTATGAAATTCAGCATTAGTTTGGTTGTTTTAGTCTTCACCTGCAGTGTGGTTATTTTTTTCTTAGCCATTTGTTAGGTTGATGGCACAACAAATGAAGTCTTCCTTCCCTGGATTCTTGGACACCTATGCAGGTGTGGTTGGTTATTCTCTATTATGACACCTTGTCATCTCAATATTACATTACCCTGTTCCTCCTGACCTCCAGCATTCCTTAAAAGGCTACCTTTTGAGTGGGATATTTTTTTCTTTAATCAGAGCATGAGATGAAGCTGAGAGTGGTGAAACACTGGAACAGGCTTCCCAAACAGGTGGTGGAGGTCCCATCTCTGGAGACATTCAAGGTCAAGGCTTAATGGGGCTTTGAGCAACCTGCTGTAGTTGGGGGTGTCCTTGTTTACTGCAGGGGGGTTGGACTAGATGACCTTTAGAGGTCCCTTCTAACCCGAACCATTCTGTGATTCTATGATAAGCTGAGGCAGTAGAAGGGATTAATATTCTCTGGGTTTAGGTAGGTGTGTGACATCTCACTTTATTTAATTGAAATTTGAGAAGAACAAGACCGACATCTGGAAGCCCATAGAAGAAAACTCGAACCTTTCAGGAGGTGATTGTTTTATGTTTCCTAATCTAGAAATACTGCAAAGCTGCTTTGTCTGTTCTTTCCCGTGTCTTCAGGAAGCCAAGAATTGAGGAGAAACTTCCTTCAACAGAGGAGACTTTTCTTCTGTGAAGGTCTTCCACCCCCCACGCCCATGCTTGATGTTAACATTCTGTGCCTCCCCCAGAAGAGCTGAAGTGCTGAACACCAGTTAAAATGGTGCACTGTTACTCATCCCATATACTGGGCTCGAATCTAGCCTAATTATGTCACTGCCAAAATTAAGCACTACTCTTTTAGCCTAAACTGAGCAAATCTCAGCCTGTGAAACAAATTTTTACATCCACTGAGTCATCAGGAAAATTCTGGTTGCGGAGCCTTTTGTTAGCACCGGGGATCCGAGGAGAGGACGCAGCTGAAACCTTCTGGTGGAAGCAACAAAATAAATAAAAATAAAACTGTCCCTTTGAGAGCCCTGGTCCTTGTCCTGGAGTAGCTGTGTTCCCAAAGGGGCTGGCTATGACCTGGTGTTAGTACTACAGGATTTCATTCAAGGTGTAATCCATCTTGGTGCTTTGTGAGGTTCCCGTCAACAAAGTGGGGCAGGAATTGTTCTTGTTGAGCAGGAGATGAGTCTTGCTGCTCATGGGGAGTAGTGGCTGTGCTTCACCTCTGGGAAATGGGTTACTGGGAAAAGTGTGGGGGGGGGGTACTGACTCTGCTCTGGTAGAATCCCGGGGGAGTGTGGAGCACTGTCAGGGAAATGCCACCTTGTACAGAAGGAGGAAACCTCTTCCCCCTGCAGCTCCAGGCTGGGGCAGAGGGGCTGGAAAGTGCCCCAGGGAAAGGACCTTGGGGGGTGGGTGAACAGGCAGCTGGAGATGAGGCAGCGTGTGCCCAGGTGGCCAAGAAGGCCACCAGCATCCTGGCTTGGGTCAGCACCAGTGAGGCCAGCAGGAGCAGGGCAGGGATCATCCCTGTGCACTGGGCACTGGAGAGGCTGCCCATCAAATCCTGGGGTCAGTTTTGGGCCCTCCCTCCCAGAAGGACCTGGAGGGGCTGGAGCATGGCCAGAGAAGGGCAACAAAGCTTCTGGGGAAGGGTCTAGAGCCCAAGTGTGGTGCGGAGCAGCTGAGGGAGCTGGGGGTGCTGAGCCTGGAGCTGTGGAGGCTCAGGGGAGACCTTCTGGCTCTCCACAGCTCCCTGACAGGAGGCTGGAGCCAGGTGGGGGTTGGGCTCTTCTCCCAAGGAACGAGGGACAGGACAAGAGGAAAGGGCCTCAAGTTGTGCCAGGGGAGGTTGAGGTTGGTCCTGAGGAACAATTTCTTGCCCTGGAGGGTTGTGCAGGGCTGTGCCAGGCTGCCCAGGGCAGTGGTAGAGTCCCCATCCCTGGAGGGGTTTCCAAGCCGTTGAGATGTGGTGCTGAGGGACATGGGTCAGTGGGGACATGGCAGTGCTGGGGGAATGGTTGGACTCGATGTTCTTGAAGGTCTCTTCAAACCAAAACAATTCTAGGTAGCAGTTACTTCACACAGTAGCACCAATGTCCAAATCCTTCAACACACCAAGTCCTCTTTTAACACACTACTTTTGGTCCATCTTCAGAGCACCTTCTCTTTCTCTGGTGTCCCACCATTAATGATTTTTGGGCCAGTGTTTGGTAAATGATGTGGTAGAAAACAAAATCTTTCTTCTGGTCACTTGCTCCTTTGTTTGTGCTGGATAGTGCTGGGCATCCAGAAACCTCCAGCGATTGGAGCACTTTGGGTTGGATTTCTACCTTCCTAGGGTGGGGTTTTTTTGATGATGGTAAAGGAGCACTTCTGTATGGATGGGTTATGACTTCTGAAAGAATTACAGCAACCTAGGAATAACTGCAAAGCCTGGAGCAAACCAGAGCCTGGATGTATTCTGTCAGCATCTCTCTTTTTACAATCCTTAATTTAAAATACAGCTTTTCAAGATCTTCCCTTGTTTTATTTGGTATTTTAATAACCTCAGACTTTTGGGCTCCTTGCCTTTTGCATTGCTGGACTTGCTAACATCCCAACGAAGTGGTTTTGTTGGAAAAGGTTTTCAGGATCACCGACAATTGCCTGTGTGGCTCTGAGGTCATGGAGGAAAGCAGATGAGGAATGTTGGGTGGTCTTTGTCATAATACTCTTCTCATGGCTCTTATCATGGCCTATGGCAGGGGAGTTGAACTAGATGACCTTTGGAGGTCCCTTCCAGCCCAGACATTCTATGATCTACCAAGGCAGGATACATATGGAAGCCCTTGCTGAATTCATTTGGTCTTGTTCTTTTCCTTCCCAGTCCTGATGTTGCCCTGCATACGGCATTTAATTACTAGATCTGTTTACAAATATTTTGAACTTTTAATCATTGCAATAAATAAGAATCAGAGAATGTTTTAGGTTGGGAGAGACCTCTAAAGGTCATCTAACACAGCCCCGCTATGGTGAGCAGGGACATCCCCAACTGGAGCAGGTTGCTCAGAGCCCCATCAAGCCTGACCTTGGATTTGGTTCTTCTAAAAATAAGGGGCGATTTCTTGGAAAGTTGTCGTCCCATGGCAAGTAGTACAGAGTACTTTAGTAGTGACCTGCAGTGAGTATCTGACTCTCTGCTTTTCAATACTGTGCTACCAAGGTGACTTCTGAGAGGGACATATTTATTTTTTTAAATGATGATTCATGAGCTGAATCATAAATTTCAGAGGTTTTCCCACGTTTCAGGCACTGGGGTGCTCCCAGTCCTGTCAGCATCAGGCTGGCTTTAAGGCTAGAGCAAGACCATTAAATATAAAGGTGTTTACTGGCTTTTGACCCTGACTTCTGAAGCGAGAGTCTGTGAGTCATTGCAGCTTGGGAGGTTGTCCTGGGATAGTGTCTGTGTGCCCTGGTCTTTTGCTTTTCCCTTGGCTTAGGTCTGTGTAGTCTAAAGAACCCTCCTTCTGTGTTCCCGGCTGTTGCTTCAGGAGGAAAATAGTCTCTTTACATCTCCACTAGTTTTCTTGTGTATCTTTGTGATCTCCTCTATAGCAGCAACAACCAGGGGAGAGAAGGGGTAAAGGGAGAAGGGGAAATAGGGAAATTTCTTTAAAATTGTTTATGTTGTAGTTGTATGGGAATTTCACTAATGCATCCAACCCTAAACCATTGTGTAACCCCAGTGTGTTCTCTTCATTGTCTGTAATGATGCCCGGATGCCAATTTAAATGAAAGATTTTTAAAATACCTCTTTCTTACTGCCTTTTTTTTTCTCCTCTTGCAGCCCTGGAAGAAAGCGTGATTTTTCACCAGTGCTTTGGAGCCAGTATTTTGAATCTATGGAGGACGTTGTGGTAGAAAATGAAACTGGCAACGATATATCCTTTTTTTTTTCGATTGAACTTTACTTATTCTCAGGGACCAAGGCAGGATCGTGTGTCATTTAGTTTATTTGGATTCTCTTCAGCTTTTTCATGTATTTCTTCTCTTCTAACATTTCTTCTTTTGTAGTGATCAGTCTCAGTAGCTGGATCTATCCCTTCTAAGCTGATACATAATCAGTTGCTGGCACTGCTGCTTTAGTAGTAATTTTAAAGCGTTTTTCCAGCAGTTCAGTAACATTTTGCAGGGAAATACTCATCAGCTCCATAGTTTAACCCGTATCAGGATCAAAGCTGTTTATTGATTTTTATTAACAACAGGTAATTAACTGCCAGTCAATGAACTGTATGTTCAGGATCAGTATCAAAAGAACAACAGATAAACCTCAACACTCAGCACTTTGATTAAATAAATACCTGCAAATTTCTAAACCCCTTTTTCCTAAGTTGAGCTAGAACAGAACCAATTCTGTTCAATGATTTTTGCTTCTTCACTTTGAAGAAACTTGGCTGAAAAGTAAAATCACTGAAGAGCATCACAGACTGGTTTGGGTGGGAAGGGACCTTTCAAGGTCATCCAGTCCAACCCCCCTGCAGGGAGCAGGGACATCTGCAACTAGAGCAGGTTGCTCAGAGCCCCGGCCAACCTCCCCTGGAATGGTTCCAGGGATGGGGCAGCGACCACCTCTCGGGGCAACCTGGGCCAGGGGCTCACCACCCTCAGCAGCAAAAAATTTCTTCTTTCTATGTAGTCTGAATCTCCCCTCTGAGGGAGAGGACACCCCTTGTCCTGTCCCAACAGGCCCTGATTGAAAGTCCCTCCCCAGCTTTCTGAGAGGCCCCTGGAAGTCCTGGCAGGCCCCCAGAAGGTCTCCCCAGCTGGAGCCTTCTCCTCTGCAGGCTGCCCAAGCCCAACTCTCTCCTGCTGGGCTCCCAGCAGAGGGGTTCCCCCCTCGGCTCATTGCTGGGGCCTCTCTGGCCCCGCTCCAGCAGGTCCCTGTCTCTGCTGTGCTGAGGACTCCAGAGCTGCCCCAGCACTGCAGGGAGAGTATTTCCAGAGCAGTGCAGAGGGGCAGAATCATCAGAATTGGTTCTGGCTCAAACCTGACGGCCTTTCTACAACTAGTCCCAGGAAGCTGTGTTCCTGGTACTGCAGGATCTCCTCCTTGTGCATGTCTCTGGGATATATGGATGCCACCCATGCTGCTCCTGCACCACCTGAGGTCACACTACATACCCCTGAGGGGTAGGTCCCTACTTGGTGCACCCCAACCTGTCAGTTCACTAGCTGGTGTGTGGACACGGAAGCTGCTCGCTTCAGCTGAGGCAGTGGTGGTGACACCATCAGAGTCTTCTGGCAGTGTCAGACCAGGTGCATTTCCTCTCCAAGATTCCCCCTTTGCAAATGTTCCCATTTCTTTTATGGTTCTTTCCAAGCTGACTCCTCTTTGCCAGTCTTACTGTTGAATCCTGCTGATGGATCATCCTCTTTGATGTGCTCCTTTGTACTGGGACAAGCCTTCCCACCAGTCCTCCCTCTGCCTACAGCTCTGGCCCAAACAGGTTTGAGAGGTACTTCCAGATTTTCTGACCTCATTACAAAATGAAAACATTTAAATCTGTGTTTAAATGACACAACCTTGTAGTTTAAATAGTTTTTAAGCATGCATATTCTAGCTTGGCCATTAGGAAACCCAAACTTTGAAGCTGTTTCTCTCCAAATACTGATATAGTAATTCCTTCTCTAACAGCAGCAGCACGTGATGCATTGAAATGGGAAAATACCTTCTCCATGTTGTTTTGCTCAGCTTGTAATTATTTTCTGTTTAATTAACTGCATTTGTGCAGTTGATCCTATGAGTTCTTCATGGCGTGCACCATGTCTGCTTCTGATGTAAGGGCTGCATGTGCCCCTGAGGCTTTGTAAATCATAATGTAAGAAGGGTTTGGTCTTTGGGTAGGTGGTGTTCATAAGCATCCCAATTTTCATAGAACATTGTCATAGACAGAATACTTGGGGTTGGAAGAAACTGCTAAAGGCCACCTAGTCCAACACCCCTGGAGTCTGCAGGGACATTCCCATCTAGAGCAGGTTGCTCATAGCCCCATCACGCCTGACCTTGAATGTCTTTGGGGATGGGGCCTCCACCTCTCTGAGCAGCCTGTTCCAGTGTCTCACCATCCTCATAGTCAAGAACTTCTTCCTAATGTCTAACTTAGATCTCCCCTGCTCGAGTTTAAAACCACTGCCCTTCGTCCTGTCCCTACACACCTTGTAACCAGTCCTTGCCCAGCTTCCCTGTAGGGCCCTTAGGTACTGGGAAGCCATCGGAACGTCTCCCTGGAGCCTTCTCTTTTCCAGGCTGAACAAGCCCAACGTCTCTCCTGCTGGCCTCCCAGTAGAGGGGTTCCAGCCTTTGGATCATTTCTGTGGCCTCCTCTGGCCCTGCTCCAACAGGTCCATGTCCCTCCTGTGTTGAGGGCTCCTCAGAGCAGAGCAGATGGGCAGAATCCCCTCTCTCCATTTGCTGGCCATGATGCCAGCAGATCCAGCCCAGTACATCATTGGCCTTCTGGGCTGTGAGCACACACTGTTGGCTCATGTCCAGCTTTTTGTCCATCAGCACCTTCAAGTCCTTCTCCTCAGGGCTGCTCTCTATCACATCATCCCCCACTCTGGATTGATACTGGGCATTGCCCTTACCCAGGTGCAGGACCTTGCCCTTGTTGAATCTCATGAGGTTCACATGGGCCCACTCCTCCAGCTCATCCAGGTCCCTCTGGATGACATCCCATCCCTCTGGTACACTGACCTCACCACTCAGGTTGGTGTCATTTGCAGACTTGCTGAGGGTGCCGTGATCCCACTGTGTATCATTGCTGAAGGTACCAAACAGTACTACTCTCAGCACGGGCCCCTGAGGGACACCGCTTGTCATCCATCTCCAGCTGGACACTGGGCCAAATTTAAGCAACTCTTAGATCTTTGGGATTTATTGTGTTACTTATGACCTTTAACAGAAGCTTGAGCTCCTGTAGAAAAGGTTGTGGACAGACGTGTGGGCAGATTCCAAGGAATGCTTTTGCGTACCCCAAGGACAGAGGGAGAAGGGCAGAAGGAGGTGAAGTGACTTGTCTAATCTGTTGGTTACAGTTTTGGGCACTGAACGCAGATCTCACAGCTCCCACTTATGGACCTTTCCCTAAGTAACCTTGTTTTTGGTGATAGTTAAGAGATTTTTTCAGTGTCTGCCTTGACACTGTAAGGGGACTTGAGCCACCCTGGTGAAGCATCTTTATATTATTGCCTTATAAATCTTGTTTACTGGCTTATCTGACATTTTTCCTTGGAAATAAGAGTAAATATTCCAAAATTACATACTCTGAAGTGTGTGCTGAGCATGGTTTGTTTTTTTCTTAGTTATTCAGCTCACTGTTGTGCACAAGGGGGAAAGAGTGTCAGCAGGAGATGTGTAGGTTACAGGGAGGAGAAGACCTGGGCAGCAGGAAACAACTCTGGGAGCTTAGTGAGGTACATTTTGTCCAGGGTACGCTTGCCTGTGGATCACATGGAGAAACGAGGGGAGGAACAGAACACAGTTGGGTGTTGCAGATTCCAAAATACATTCAGCTTAAGGAACTTCAGAGAACCCTGTGAGATGTCCTTAACTGTTCATACACTTTTCGAATTTACAAAAGCGGGCTGGAGGGCCCCGTCCTGCTGCTGCTGCACGGTGGAGGCCATTCTGCTCTTTCCTGGGCTGTGTTCACTGTAAGTAAGCTGCTGCTTCCCATGGGTGGGTATGTATGCAAACGTAGTCAAAGGCAACTAACTGTTCCACTGCATCAAGCACAGGGAAATCTGTTCAGAAATCTGCCTCCTGATCTCCTGGTGCTCTCCTGACTCAGGTCTTCTAAATATTTCAGTGTCAGTGCCTGTATTAAATAGGCAAAGCACACACAGAGGTTTATCATCTCAGTTTTAAGTATCAGCACTAATCAAAACTGCATCTACCATGCAGCCTGCCTGTGTCAGTGGAGTGCCAGGACATCTCTCATCACAGTATATCACATTTGTTTTTTCAGAAGGCTGATTTTTCATGGCTACCACAGGAAGTTCCAATGGTTTTGCCTCATCATAACAGTATTATCTTTGCATGGTTGAGGTCCTGTTGGACTTGTCAAGAAATCTCCGTTGCTGCTCGGGCAGCTCTCCGAAACACGAGCTGAGGTGGTGTCCATAGGAGTGAGTGTGGGGACTGACCCAACTTCTCCCTCCCACTCTTCCCTACAAAAAATAAAGGGAGTGAAGGAAGAAAACTTCTCAAGGATTTCAAGAACAGTAAATTCACTTGCAAAAGTCTTGTGATGAGCAGCTGAGGGACCTGGGGGTGCTGAGCCTGGAGCAAAGGAGGCTCAGGGGAGATCTTCTGGCTCTCCATAGCTCCCTGACAGGAGGTTGGAGCCAGGTGGGGGTCGGGCTCTTCTCCCAAAGAAGAAGCAACAGGACAAGACGAACTGGCCTCAAGTTGTGCCAGGGGAGGTTGAGGTTGGCCCTGAGGAACAATTTCTTGCCCTTGAGGGTTGTCCAGGGCTGTGCCAGGCTGCCCAGGGCAGTGGTGGAGTCCCCATCCCTGGAGGGGTTTCCAAGCTGTGGAGATGTGGTGCTGGGGGACATGGGTCAGTGGGGACCTGGTAACGTTGGACTCAGTGATCTTAAAGATCTTTTCCAACCTAAATGATTCTCTGATTTTTATTTGGGACTTGTTTAATCTGGGAGCATTTTGAGCTGCCTAGTGCCCTTAACAGAAGGATGCTATAGGATGACTTTCATGGAAGTGTGACTGGACAGGCAAAGTCTCTATTATCCCCCCTGTGCCTTTGGCTGTGTCATACTTGTCACCTTTCAGCAGTTTGGGCTGTAGATGATTTAGCTTCTCAGCAGATTCAAATGACTAATGAGAATGAACATTTTAGAAGAGTCACTACCAACTGCTCTTGAATTCCTGACGTGACTACTGTTGAGTAATCCTGATGGTCTCATCATAAACCATCTTCTATTATGATGAGACATGCTAGAAAAATACTTTGCCAACTGGACTGTAATTCTGATATTAAATAATAGTTTCACACCTAAGAGTTTATTTTTTTTAAACTAAAGCAGGGGAGGCTCAGAGTAGAAATAAGAAAATTTTGATGCTGAGGGTGTTGAGCCCCTGTCCCAGGTTGCCCCGAGAGGTGGTCGCTGCCCCATCCCTGGAACCATTCCAGGGGAGGTTGGCCGGGGCTCTGAGCAACCTGCTCTAGTTGCAGATGTCCCTGCTCCCTGCAGGGGGGTTGGACTGGATGACCTTTGAAGGTCCCTTCCCACCCAAACCATTCTAGGACTCTGATTTCTAACTTTTCCTGATACTGGTTCAGGTACAAGTCCTACTGTTGAACTTTAATCCTCAGTCTTACTAAATCCTGTAGTTACTTGCTCATAGCTCACTAGTTGCCAAGATGGATGGATTGTCTTTTCCTCTGCTAGTGCAGTCTTCTGGTTATGATGTAGCAGTGCCTTCAACAGACATCCTGAAGGTCAATGCTTTAAATGAGGGAGGTATGAAGTCATGCTTTTCAGAGTTAGGAAAGGGCTTCTTACAGATCCCTCTGCAGAGCTCATTACCTCCAATAACAACAACATTTTTACAGTTAAAAACCTCCAGAACTGAATTTAACGGAGTGATTGCAGTTATAACACTGTTCCTTACAGCTACTGGCTTTTTATGTTCCTGTTAACGATCAATCACCAAAAAATTCAGTCGTGTCCCCGATTCCCAGAGATTCACACCTTGCACTTGATGCTGCATCTGGAGAAATAAACTGGCTCAAAAATGAGCTCCTGCCTTTGGGTGGCTGCTCTTGAATTATTTCCTTTGTGCATTTTGAAATGAAGATTTGTCCCAGGCAATCAAATACAAAATGTTTGGGATGAACCAGAACTTTAAGAACCCCCCAAACAACCCCTTCTTCAAAAAAAAACCCCAAAAGAAACTCAGATGGGGAAGCAGGGAGAGCGCCATCTATAAATAAAATAACAGCCTGCAGGATCCATATGCTCCTTTCTTCTTTTGCTTATGGGCTTGGTAACCTCTTGGGTGATGTGTTTGTACTTCTCTTAGCCAAAATATTCCTGTTGGGATAAAACTCAGGGCACTGGAAAGCTTCCCATTCTCTTCCATCATGTTGATGATCCTCTTTCCGTACTCCTTACTGACAACAGTTTGAGTTTTTGCAGCAGACTGCTCCTCTGACTAGTTAAATTATTGCTTAGGTGCATAAGCACCTTGCAGATGGAGTTTTTTGGGTGTCTTTAGGGGCTCTAAAATATTTACTTGTGGATTCAGTTGCCCAGGAGAGCAAATGCTGCAGTCATTTAGCAGATGAACAGCTCAACGAGCAAAATATGACCAAAATATGAGGATGTGGTAGCTTCCAGATCTCTGCCCATTATGTAGGTGGTTCTATTAAGAATCCCTCAACAAATTCCCCCACTCCTGCAGGGCGGTGATTTAAATAATCAATGATCCCTTAACACAAAGCCCTGCTTTTCAACAAAGAATGCCACTTAATCCTGGTGATGCCTGAAAAACTTATGTAAATTGAGCTGTCAGGGACAAATGGAGCCATAATCGTATTGCAGTCCTACTTTACTTCATAAAGATTCTTCCCTTGCTTCGACCCCTTCGCACTAATCAGTTTTTGTGCATTTCAGGCTGACTCTAAAATGCTGTTCTTTAAGAGCAAATTGAATGTGTGCTGCAAAGCAGCTGCTTCATCTTCCTGTCTGAGCCAAGGCTCATTTTGTAATGTGAGGGGAGCCGGGGGCAGTACTTGAGGGTCTGCAATCCCACTGCTGCATTTCAGTTCTCAGAGGTAGAATCAGAGAATAATTTAGGTTGGAAAAGACCTGTAAGGTCATTGAGTCCAACCCAGCACTGGCAAGTCCTCACTGATCCGTGTCTCTCAGCACCACATCTCCACAGCTTGGAAACCCCTCCAGGGATGGGGACTCCACCACTGCCCTGGGCAGCCTGGCACAGCCCTGCACAACCCTCCAGGGCAAGAAATTGTTCCTCAGGGACAACCTCAACCTCCCCTGGGGCAGCTTGAGGCTGTTTCCTCTTGTCCTGTCCCTTGTTCCTTGGGAGAAGAGCCTGACCCCCATGTGGCTCCAACCTTTCATGTGCTACAGAGCTTGACTTCACTACCCTGGGTTACATAAGGGATGTCATAGCACACACTGAATTAAATGTCCTCAGAGACAGTGTGATCAATGGTAAAAAGGATGGAGCTTTGTTTAATTAAGGTAATTTATATGGAATATTCTTGCTTGCTTTCTCTGACACCTTGTGCAATCCAGGTTCAGCCACAATGTTGATAGTAAGAGACATTTTTGCACCCTCCAAGCCTTTGCTGTTGTTTCAGGGAGTGCTTAAAGTCACTGATGCTTTTGTAGGTGAGGTGTGGTCCTTTGCAAATGATCTTCTCTTTGTCCCTTCTTGCAGTCTGCAATCATTAACAGGATTCAGTGTAGGATTGTGGCTTTAGATCTCCGAGGCCACGGTAAGTAAAAGAAAGAAATTTAAAATCACGTAAGTATGTTACACGCTCCTGATGTTTAAAGTTGCAGTGAAGCCCTCTCAAGATGAGGATCCTGAAGGAACACCAATTATTATTCAAAAGCAGGAAT